GTCATGAAGCACTATGTTATTGTAATGTCTCTATTTTATTTAGGAACTTGAGGAATTAAAAGATCAGTTTTACCAAAGGACAAGCTAACTGAATATCTGGTTTCAAGCATGTTACCAGAATGGAAATTAAGGGGCAGATACAGGTAGTAGCAACATAATTACTGGGACCCCACTCAAAATACAGAAGCTCTCAATGGGAGGATGTTGGCAAGTGTTGAGGCACAGGATTGACCCTGACACCTTTTAAATGGCTAAATGCTGCCCTTTCTAATTAAGGTGCATCAGAACCAAAAGATTGTTGTTGTATCTGCTGATGGTACTAGTGGGTAAAGGGAACTGGCTCAGGAGGAAGTCCTGTAGAGAACCAAGAGACAGAGAGAATGAGCCTCTTCCTGATGTTTACTTAATATAATACAGTCAATGCTATGATATAACTAATGCTAGGAAATATGTTTCTATATAGCAGCTGCTCAGCACCAGTATGTAATCATGTGCTAGTTCTGCATGCCACAGGAAGGATTAGGGCCAAACACTAAAACTAAGTGTTTGAAATTTAGTATTGTTCTCCCATTCACCAGATGTACTCCCAAGAACCCCACAGATTATGGATATAGGTAAAACTTTCAAATTAAAGCTGGTAAGTGACTAATCATGCTGTTAAACAATAATTGAAATACCATTTTTTTAAATATTTTGGGGGTGTTTTCTACATTTTTAAATTTATTTCAAATAGAACACAGAATATGGACTGTACAGTGCTCATGCATTGTTGTTTTAATGAGCATCATCAGCACAGAAGCATGTCCTCTGGAATACTGGCTGAAGCATTAAAAGGCATACAAATATTTATCATATCTGGCACATAAATATTTTGCACTGCAGGCTACAAAAGTACCATGAGAATGCCTATTCTTACTTTCAGGTGATACTAAAATAAGAAATAGGCAGCATTATCTCCTTTAAATGGAAACAAACTTGCTTGTCTTAGAGACCGGATTAACAAGAAGTAGGATTACATGGACTTGTAGATTCAAAAGTTTTACAGTTTTGTTTTTGAGTGAAGATATGTAACAAAAATTCCTACATTTGTCAGTTGCACTTTCATGATAAACATTTGTATAAGGTGAACTGAATAATATTATTTCTTTATCATTTTTACACTGCAAATATTTGTAATAAAAATAGAGAGTACTGTAAACTTTTTATTCTGTGTTGTAACTGAAATCAGTAGTTGAAAATATAGAAAAACACCCAAAATACTCAATAAAGGTGTGATTAAAACTGCAATGAATCATCATTAATTTGTTTGTGATTTTTTTTTTTAATTACGAGTTAACAGCAATTAATGAAAACTCTATTTAACTGCTTCATTATATTTGTTTGGAAAAAAATGAATTTCCCCTTTATGGTGATAACTCTTCATAATCAGAGCAAATATATTGCAGACCCTGGAGTTTTAGGGTCTTTTTATAATGTCTTCTATTTTATTGCATCATCCTCAGGATTCCGTTTTTTAATACACAAAGTCTCTTTGTTTTCCCCAGACATGCAGGATCCTGCCTATACCAAAAGACTTCGTGCAGCTTTATTGTATTATTTTGTATATTTCTACATTATACCACACTTTTTGAGATTTCAGCCTCAATGCCTAATTGAGATAATTTGAATGCTATGTTTGATGACATCTCCTGAACAGTAAGAGCTAGGACCACCAAATTTGGTATGCAGCTTTCTCTAATCCTAACTTAAAGCAAGGTCACGGTTTAGTTATGCCAGAAAAATGGGATGTGCCTGGAAACCAGTTGTTTTCCATAACACGGAAAGAGAGGGGGCTGAGAGCAGCAACCATTATGCTCCGCAATGATTTCTGGGGGCAACAAACACAGGAGATAGTTATACTGCATTGACCACAGGAAGGCGCCTCACCAGGAAAAGAATGGTATGTCAAGGCCCTCCATATTGCCAGCAACAGGTAAGTAGCCCCCTGCACCAAACTTCTCCCCTGGCCCCAGTGCCAGATGAGGGAATGACACCAGTCAGCAGCCCTTCAAGGAGCTACGGGACAGGGTCGGACAGCGCAGCTCCTCCCCCTGGAGAAGTAGCATAGCCTCAGCCCCCTGCCCTCAGAGAAGCCAGTGCCGGGCAGTGTGACCTTACAGAGCCACTGTCACAGAGCCACTTACAGTGTGACCTTACAGAGCCACTGTCACAGAGCAGCTCCACCCTCACCAGTGAGCCCCCAAACCTCCTTGCATGAGCCCCCAGGCCCGAGTCCCCCACAGCCTACCCTGACTCCTGAACCTCCACACCCTACACTGAGCCCCTCCCCACACCTAGCCCCCTGCCCTGACTCTTGCACCCCCCTACACTGCTCTGAGCCCCCTGACACCTCCAAGCACCCTGCACTGATGCTTGCTTCCCCACACCCTGCCGAGCCCTCAACACTTCTAAGCCCCCTGCCCTGGCTCTTCAACCCCCAAACCATGCACTGAGCCTCCCACCAGCCAACTCTCTGACACACCACACTTGCCCTGACTTCTGTACTGCCCACATCCTACCCTGATCCCCCTACACCTCCCAGTCCCCTGCCCCCACAACCCCTGCCCTGACTTCTCCACTCCCACTCTCTGCCCTCACCTCCCAGTCTCCTGCCTTCATTCTTTCCCTGCACCCTCAAACCCTGTCCTAACTCTTCCACCTCCGCATCCCCAGCCTGCCACACACAACCCCTGCCCTGACTTCTGCACCCCTCACCACCTGCCTGATTCCTGCAACCCGTGCTCTGAGCCCCCATCCTCCTGCCATAACTGCCTGCACTCCCCACTCTGAACCCCATCATTTAAATAAAGCATGTACATTTTCCTTCTAATTTTAAAAAAAATACTACAGTTAAGGACTCAAGCAAAGCCAAGTACATCTGCTAGTCTAAGAATAATTTAGAGTCAAGTTAACTTTTTAAAATGATGATCCAAACTAGGGATGTAAGCAAAAGCTTATCAGATAGTCGACACAGTAGTCAACTAGTTGCTCCCCCGCCCCCTTTGATGCCTCTATCACAAAGAGGCAGCAACGGGGGGCGGGGGAGAAAAAGGGGTGCTGGAGGGAGCCAACTTAAAAGATGGTTCCCCCCAGCTCCAGCTTCATGGAAGGGGGTAGGGGTGCAGTGAGGCCAACTTTGAAATGTACAAGAGTTGCCGCTGGGGCTCTTGTACATTTCAAAGCGGAAGCACTGCAAGGAGCCTGGGGCCAGTGGGGGACTCCTCAATGGTCTTGGGCTCTATGCGGCATGCTGCAGGGGGCCCGGTTCCAGTGGGGGACTGAGTCTCCCCACTGACCCCAGGCTCCACGTGGTACTTCCTCTTTGAAATGCACAAGAGATCCTTCTGGGGACTCTTGTATATTTCAAAGCAGAAGTGCCGGTGAGGAGCCCAGGGTTAGCGGGATTCCCCGCTGGCCCTTGGCTCCATGCAGTGTTTCAATCTTTGAAATGCACAAGAGCCCCTGCTGGAACTCTTTGTACATTTCAAAGGCAGAATGCTATAGCTTATTGACTAATCAAATAGTCGATGGAAAACCCATCGACTGTTCGATTAGTTAATTGATTGAAATTTAATATCTCTAATCCAAACCTTGGTCACTTGTGTAAAGTGTTATTGCATTGCTTTCAGTGAGAGACCTTGCATAAATAAAGTGAGCAGTATTTGGCCCATTCTTTGTTTCCCCTTCCATTATATTCTAAAATTGTCTCTTGTAGGTTTTTTAAATATATATACCCTATGCTGGGAAAAACCTGGAGGACAAGAAGAGCTTCTAACCTTTCATCTTTCCAACTTTTATTTTTGGTTTTCTAATTTTTCCCATGATTGAAAATAATCCTGTAAATTTTTTACTCAGTTTGCATTAGGTTTCCTGGGTTTTTAATGATCTTTGCACACAATCTTGAAAAAATGTTAACTTTACCAGGAAACTTCAGATAAATGATCAGCACTAATGATGAAGATTTTACATTAGTTTAACAGCTTACATCATTCTGACAGATCAAAAAGTGCTATCCAAATGTTATAGATATATCAAGTCTACAACTTCCCCCTTATCCACAAGTTTTGTTATTCTGTCAAAGAAAGCTATCAGGTTTATTTGACATGATTTGTTCTTAATCCATGCTGACTATTACTTATTTTCTTCTAGATGTTTGCAAACTGATTCCTTAATTGTTTGCTCCATTATCTTTCCCAGTACTGAAGCTGATTGGTCTGTAATTCCCTGGGTTATCCTTATTTTTCTTTTTAGAGATGGACACTACATTTGCCCTTTTTCGAATTTTCTGTACTCTCCCATCTTCCATGACTTTTCAAAGATAATAGCTAATGGCTCAGATATCTCCTCAGTCAGCTCCTAGAATGCTCTAAAAAGCATTTAATCAGGCCCTGGTGACATGAAGATCTCTAACTTTAAGTAATTTTTAGCTTGTTCTTCCTCTATTTTAACTTCTGATCCTACCCCATTTTCACTGGAATTCATTATGTTAGGAACCAATTAGCACCAACCTTCTCCGGAAAAAAATCAAAACAAGTAAGTCATTAAGTAACTCTGCCTTTTCCACATTTTCTACTACTGTCTTTCTCTCTCCATTGTTCTTCCCTATCATGTCTTTGGTCATCCTCTTTTTTCTAACATGTTTGTAGAATTTTTTTGCCCTCTAATTTATCCTCAACTCACAAGGAATAGTGATAAAAATACCAATGACTTAAATGCACTATGGATAAGATCCTAATAATCAAAATGATCTTCTGAAGTATCTTGCTATTCCTAGAAAACATCAGTCTAAAATGATAAAACAGGACAATCTTGAGTAGCTTTAGAGACACCTGACAGGAAAATACCATAAGATGGGTATGAATGACTACACTAAGCTAAACGATGTATAGAACTCAAAGTGAAAATTATCTTGAGTTAACACAAATTTACAAATAGTACACCTTATTAAATATACGACATACCGCAACAATCAGGACAATCTGGATGTATTAGAGAATTTATTCCAAATCCTGGATAGCAGCGATTAACCCAGACCATATGCAGAGTACCTTCAATATAGTATATTTCAGGTAAGGGTTCAGAACGTTTCCCCAGAACTTCCACTTGTTGGTTAAAAAATCTCTCTATAAGATCTTTTGCCTAAAGTGAAACAAAAAGATTTATTTTATATCATCCATTCAAAAATAAGTAAAATTATTTTTCTAGTGTGCTTAAGGTGGGAGAAGTAATAATATACAGGATCTCAAAGATGAATTACTATCATTGATCATTGCTGGTAGGGGAGCAGAGCTGAATGGCCAGTCTATTGAATTTAGATTAATGTAATTGTGAATTTTAATTTCTGTGAGATGATGAGAGCTATAGCAAGCACTAATAGCTATCATGATTTATAAAAAGTAAACAGTACAAGCAAAAACATTCTAAAAAAGGAGTAAATGACAGGTTTTTTTCCCTATATTATAATTGGGATTTCTACACTATAACATCAGCAAAATAGATTCATAGGTCTTCCATCTGCAAAACTACTGACATGTAAGATAAATCAGATTTCAAATCACTTTTCATCCATAACAGGTCACCTGTTGGCGAAACAGACAACACAAGCATCTCCCCAGAATAAAACAAAATAGAAAGTTATGCTAGTTTAGTTTAAAAACAAAAACAAAAACAAAACAACACACTTCATTATTGCAATTGCTTGGAATGTTTTTGTAGAAATCCAATTCTAGGTAACAATTTTTTTCTCTTTATGAATCAATTGTCTGTTATGAATCCTCTAGTAGCTCTGTTAGATTATAGACGTTTTTTCTTACAGTGGGACCTGAAAAAAAAGACCCAGGTAGAGGATTATAAAGTATTCAGTCTTCAGCTGAACAATCAATCATTAGAAATGTCTATTTATATACAAGTTGGGCATCCAAATCCCACTGAAACGTCAAAAACTTTCATTATGCTTATAAGTAATGTGAGAACAGAAAGAATCTCTCATCTAAGCTGTTTTAGGCCAGGACCTTGGGGCCAAGTGGGATCAGGGAAAATATGTAGAACAGAACTCCCAACCCCTTGATGAAGAAGGCATCATTCAGGAATCCCGCATCTGCTCATCATCTGAAGCAGAAGCTGCAACACGTGTTGTGTGCTGTGGCGAAGAAGTCCACCTGGGGAGTGCCCCACTTCTGGAAGAACATGGCAATGATTTGCAGCTAGAGAGCCCCCTTTTGATGAGAGGAGAATTTCTGCTCAGATGATTGGCTAGGAAGTTTCCCGCGCCTGGGAGGCAGTGGGTCTCCAGATTAATACTGTGCTGGATGTAGCAGTTGCAGAGGTAGACTGCCTTATAACAGAGCGGGTCCAACCGCACCCTACCCCCAGTGGTTGACAAAGAACATCGTGGCCATGTTGTCCATGAAGACTCGGAACACCCTGACTGCCAAGAGAGAGAGGAAGATTTCACATGCCCTGAGAACTCCCACAATTCCTTGACATTTATGTGGATAGGCACTTCCTTTTTGGTCCACGTACCCTGGGTCCGGAGTTCACCAAAATGGTACCCCAGCCTAGGTCCAATACATCCAATACCAGTTTGAAGGAGTGGTGGGGGGGAGGAAGGGGGAAGGCGCTCACAATGGTACTCCTGTCAGAATGTTGCCAGTGCCTATCCACCAGGTGAGAACTCAAAACTGGGGCCGGGACTGTCAGCACTCTGTCTGGAAGCAGTCTTGAGGGGGTATAGGCCAACACCAGCCATTCCTGAAGGGGCCACATATGGAGTCTGGCATACTTGACCACGGAAGTAGATGCTGCCATATGCCCGAGTAGCTGAAGACATACTCTGATTGTAGTGGTTGGTGAAGTGCACATGTAAGTCACAAGGTCCACAAGAGAGCAAAACTTGGCCAGAGGGAGAAAGACCCTCATGAGAGATGAATCTAATATGGCTCCTTTAAACTTTGTGTGTTGAATTGGCATTAACTGAGACATTTCTGTATTTATCAACAGGCCAAGGCGGTGGCACAGACAGAGCAAAAGATCCACATGCATGCAGATGTTAGAGTACGAGTCGCCCTTGATGAGCCAGTTGTCCAGGTAAGGGTAGATCTGTACCCCTTGTTATCTGAGGTGTGCAGCCACCACCAACATACATTTGGGAAAAACCCAAGGGGCTGTGACAAGGCGAAGCAAAAGGACCACAAACTGGTAGTGGTTTGTTCCCACCATATCTGTAGGAAATGTCTGTGACCCTTGACAAACATAAACATCCTTGAGATCGAGGATGGTGTTCCATTCTCCCAGGTCCAGGAAGGGAATGACAGAGGCCAGGGATACCATACTGAACTAGAGCCATACCAGCTAACAGTTCAGTCCATGCAGGTCTGTAGCTATAGAGCACCAGGGCAGAAGGAAAAAGATGCAGGTGGTGTGAAAAGGTTACAGGGTTGAATCTGGCAGTGTGAAAGATATGCTGTCCTTGATCATACCTTCAAAACGGGTGCTTGGAGGCAACCATAGGATGGGAGGAGCTGGGCTGCATAGAAGAGCAAGATTTGGACTGCCTCTACCTAAACCCCTTATATTTGCTCTGCCCCAAGTCCTGGTAAAGTTGGGAAGGCTCAGCAGATAGGCCTGAATTTGAGGCCTGAATTTCTTACGCGCTGATGAGCCTCTGCATCAGGGCTGCCCCAGCAAAGGGGAAATCCTGAAGAGATTGCTGTGCCTCAGGGGAGAGGCTGGAGAGAAGCACTACAAGGCCTTCCACATGAAAATGGTCAATGGAACAAGCCACCACATCAGAAGCAGCCTGGGGCACCACTCTAACAGCCATTGTCCCCTCCTCTGGAAAAGCACAAAATTTCTTCCTTGATACCTCAGAGAGAACTCAAGCTTGGTGATAGCCTGCTACATGTTTATATCAGAGCAAGCTATGATGGCCTGGTAATTTAGCACCCAAAGCTGTAAGCTGGAAGACTTTAAAGCTTTCTCCTGATTAAGTCCAGCCTCATTGAGTCCTTATTTTTCAGAGCCGCCCTGAGCTGACCTTGCCTTACCCAGTGGTTAATGGCTTCCACCACCAGGGAGTTAGGGGTAGGGTGAGAGAAAAAGGTACTCATGCCTTTTCGCTAGGATGAAGTACTTACTTTCCACCCTTAGGTATAGGAGTAATGGAGGAGGGCATTTCCCACAGGGCCATGGCAATCTTGGCCACCTCATTGTGGAGGAGTAACTAGCCAGAGCTGACTGACCCAACTCCCCAAAAAGGGTATCCTCCTGCTCCTCAATTTCCTCCACTTGGAGGTTCAAGTTAGTGGTCACCCTCTTAAGGAAGTCTTGGTGAGCCCATACATCATTGGGGGGCACCACTGTGGAAGGCCTACAATGGTCTCATCTGGAGAGGAGGAGGAGGCCTGTGCTGAGGGATCCTCCTCGAGATCAGAGGAGGCCCGTGCCTATATCTTAGCTCTCTGCTTCTCCTGCTGGGAGGCATTTAACACAGACAGAAGAGGTTAATAATGCCTTTGGCATACTAGCTACTGAGCACAGTACCTGAGATGATAGAGAGAACCCCCACAGGTTCCAGGGTACCATTGAGACAACCAGACCATTGGCCACTGTAACAACTAGAGTTCAGTTTGTTGTACTGGAGATGTTGGACAAGGAGCTTGCACCACGGGCACTTAGGCTTGGTCCGAGGCCAGGATGACAGAGTGCAGTGCCAGGGAACTACGAGCAAGGGTTGGCACGGGTGCAGTACTGCACACTGGGCCAACACCCTGGATGCAGAAGAGCACTGGGGTCCGGCAAGCATCATCCACTCTGGGATCTGCAGTATGGGCAACGGTGGCTGGCCATCTCATGACTAGCACCTGTCCCAGAGCCACTAGCTAATCAGCTGAAACCACGCCATGAAGTTGAGTGGGACCACCAGTCCCTGCTTTCCTCACAGACACACTGCAGGGAGTTATGAGCCAGAGAGTGGTACCAGCAAGGTGAGTGGTGCTGTGCCGGGGACCTGTCCCTCATACAGTGCTCAGACCTTGAGGCCAAGAGGAGGAGTGGCTTCAGGAGCTAATCCCATATGCAGGGTGGAGGGAGCAGGAACGTGTGCCTCTGAAGACCTCTGCCAAAATCCTGGGGAGTCCCACCTGCTGCCCTCAGAGGTCCTGGGACAGACCAAGGACTGGGCCAGGTTGGGGCCTCTGCATCTCTCATCTCACAGAGGTGATACCTTCGACAATCCTCCAGATAGAGAGCATTGCCTCTGAGGAGACCATGGTGGTGCCATGGCCAACTTCCCCTTGTGGCACAGTACCACATGCAACTTACGTTAGTCTGTCTCAAAAATATAAAAGGAACACACATTAAAACTTTAGATGGTTTTACAAATTTGGTCCTAACTTAGTATTACCCAAATACCACCCGCAAAAAAAAAATTAAAAATAAAAAAATTAGGTTTGTAAACTTTATAAAAGTGTATCATTTAGTCATGGTCATGCTACCTTAACAGCACAATTCCATAGTATCACAAACCTTGATTTCCTGGTAAACTCTGCTAATGCAAAATCTAACATAACCGAAAAGTTGTTCATATTCTAATTTGGAAGATTTCTAATGATGAGAAGTTGAAGATGAGAATGGTCTTGTTTATAAAGAGTTAGTATGCAAAGAGCTGGTGTAAAAATCTATTAGTGTTCTGTAGCCTAACTTAAGTGTGAATCCTGCAACCATGCACTAACAGTTCCATAGTTTATTATTTACTGCTATGGAACATTTAGTACGTAATGTTGGGATGGTGCCAAATTGGTGTGGCTATACTGAATGAATAGTGTGAGCATAACTTAACACAACTTAAACATGGCTGGATGACTGCAGAGGATCCTGAGAGCAGGTTTCTGTAGGGCTATTCTCCCCCACCCCCTTTTACCCTTGGCTCTGGCTCTCACAATACAATCTATGTTAAGCCTTCTGCTATCTTAAACAATCCAATTTATGTTAGGCTTCCTGCTATGTCAAAGGCAATAAGGCAAGACTTTGCTTAGAAATCACACTGCTTAATTATATCCGTGCTTATGAATATGTATGTAATCCATAGAATGAGTGAAGACATGTGAATGAAAAATACCCAATGAAAAGACAGTTCAACC